AGCTCACTCTGTTCACCCGCCATTGCATCTGTAACAGTACTCGAGGGTGCACAATATGATTCCTCATCCTCATCTACGAATACATACATAGCATGGTCATCCCCTTCCCGTGTTTCTGATTTTCTAGGGCAAGAGGCAATTTTCTGATTTTCTAGGACAAAACGAAGAGTATTGGGTTTAACCTCCTAAGCTCGCCTAGGAACGCCCAGGCACGCCTTCTCTCCACTAGGCGCAAACTAAGCGCTATTCCTACCTACTAAGCGCTACCAGCGCCTTTTACAACGCCTATGGCCAAGTCAAGGCAATCCTCCACCGCCTAGCGTCTAATTGAGCTTAGGCGTGCGCCTAGGCGCGCCTTCTTGAACCCTGACTCTCTATTGTTGAAACATTTAGTAATCTACCATGTTGATTAACTATTTTAGCAATGCATTGAATGTAACTAAAGTAAAAAAAACAAACACAACCGTCTCAATTCAACTACAAACGATGACAAATAAAACACACAATAGTCTCAGTTCAACTACAAACGATGACAAATAAAAAGCACAATAGTCTCAGTTCAACTACAAACGATGACAAATAAAAAACACAATAGTCTCAGTTCAACTACAAACGATGACAAATAAAAAACACAATCGTCTACTGAGGCGGCTGCCCTACCAACTGGTCGTACAACTCGAAAACCCCGGCTACCATATCATAGAACTTACCACCGTCCTCCTCCCACTTACTCCGGTCCCTTGTCAGCAACACGGGACCTAAACGATCCACAATATGCTCTCTCAACTGTAAATAGAAAACAATGTTAGAATAAATAAGAAATGTCCTTTATATTTGGAAAAGCAAAAGAAAGTCATAACTAACCTGATGAACTAGTAGTGATCGAGGCTGAGGCACCCCATCAGTGGGGTGGGTGATCCGTGGGTGCAATCTAGTCAGAAACCAGTCAATGTACTCCTCCACGATCTCCGATGGGTGCTCGCACGGCCGAGAAGCAAAATCCAAATCTAGACGACGGGCTGCCACGTTATCCCACAACTGATTCACCCAAGGATCCCAAAAGACTATGTAACTGCTGCCGGAAGCCGGATGGTACTGGTCATGTGGTACCGTCATAGCATGGGGGATAATCTGTCGGTATCCAAACTGGCGCAGAAAACGTGCAGGATCGTATCCCTCAGCAATGTCAGAAAAGCGAATGGGGCTAGTATACAAGGAGCGGGGTATATCTGTGTGGCCATCTCGTTCGTACGGAGTCCAGGTCACATCATCAGCTGCAAGCTCATCCAACAACCGTCGATAACGTGCTAACCTCTGTCTAGCCTCATCCCCACCTGGCAAACGGGGAGAAATCCACGAGGAAGCACGAGGTGCATCCGGAGACTGCGGCAGCTGGCTCGGACGGAATAGAGGAAAGTACTCATATATCCAAGCCTGAAGCAGGGTCAAACAACCACAAAGACCCTTACTACCCGCTCGTGTGGCCACTCCCAACTGTCTGTAGAGATAGGCTAGTGCACCAGCTCCCCAAGCGTAATCAGTCAATCGTCGATGATCCTTCAGAAACAAGTTGATCGCAGGACGAAGGCGATCACGACTCTTATCCACAAAAAGCGTGGATCCCAGTAACAAAAATAGGTAACACTGCACCTCCATCTCCTTAATCTTCAGCTCTCCCCCACGCACCAACAATCCCTCTGCATGCATAGCACCATTATCGTACCACTTAGACTTCCACTTACCACCAACCTGAGCATCCACCGAAAGTCGAACTAGACCACCCATGTCTGACTTAAGAGTATCCCGCCTCATCTCCCATCAGCTCTCCGTCAACCGGTATCCGAAGAATGTGATGCACATCGTGTAGAAGGATCGAAATCTCTCCAAACGGCATGTGGAAGGTGTTTGTGTCCGGCTGCCACCTCTCCACAAATGCCGACAGTAGAGCCATGTCTTAATGCTGCATCATGCACCCTGTCAAGTGAGACAATCCTGTGGCTTCAACCATCTCCTTGGAACCCTCTGCACTCCACTTATATCGCCTCAAAGTCTCTACAGCTCTCGGCCTATGGAAGCCGCCCAACACTCCACGGTCCTGCTTAGGGGAATTCCACAGTACAAAGCCAATGTGACCTCCAAAGCTAGGGATCACATCGGGAATCACTGGTCCACCTGAACACATCGGAGACTCGGCTGTAAGAAACCACGACATATCTTTCCTCGTGGTCTTCCTCTTCCTATTTCCATCTCCGCCATCCTCGCTACTAGGTCTGGACGCATAGCGTCCATCGGGCCCACGAAAGTGGGAGGAGGCAGTAGAAGATATCCCGACCCGCGCCGTCTTCCCCACATCTAAATCAGCTTGAGGTGGGGCATCCCCAACCTCAGCATCACCAGCACGATCACCAACATCATCACCATCATCATCACCAGCATCTGGGGCATTCCCAACCTCAGCATCACCGTCATCATCATCATCCTCGTCAATGGAATCACTCCAATTAGCCTGCCATACCGGTGCGCTATCTGGTGTAGTAGTACTGGTAGTACCTCGACTAAGAGACAACTGCCCCACAGTAGGGTGGCCGTCAGGACGCACTACATCCGCCTTTTTCTTCTTCCTTCTAACCTTAGGTGGATTTTTTTCTTCATTTTCCTTCCTACCAGTCGCCGTAAGTCTACAAGCACGACCTTCCATTCTCTCCTTATTTCTCGCCTTAATCATATCCGGTTTACCCATTCCATGTCTAGACATCTTCAAAAAAACGTTTGAATTATTAATAATGGAGTACATAAAGTAATTAATTTAAGATTTTCATAATTAAAATTATAAAACTAATAGTTTTAACATTTATGTTACGTTCTATGTAATAATTATTTACTTTTTAATCAAGGTAAAATTATTAATAATTAAGTAGATAGACGAATTACTTTGAAATTTTGATTATTAAAATGATAAAAACACATTTTTAATTTTTTTATAATGTTCTTTAAATTTGTTATCATTAATTAACATTTATCGAATACGTTTTTAAAAAATTTATATCATATAACTAAATTAACATTATAACTAAATTAACATTTATCAATAATATAACTAAATTATTATTATTATTATTAACATTTATTTAACGAATAATAAAAACACAAAATATTACAAAACAGAATTTAAAAAAAAACGGGCCGACCGCGGTTGATCGTCGGTTCAACCGCTCGTTGACCGCGGTCAGCCGTCGGTCAAACCGCGGGGCCAGTTCGTTACCTTCTCCGGTGACGACGCGAGCGGCGACGGGCGTCTTCTCCGGTGACGACGCGAGCGGCGATGGCGAGACGGGCGACGGGCAGTGACGACGCGAGCGGGAGCGGCAACTGGCGGGCGACGGCGACTTGCGATAGGACGGCGGGATGATCGGCGGCGACTGGACGCGAGCGGCGACTGGCGGGCGGCGGCGATCTGCAGAGGGTGGAAGGAAAGTCCGAAGAGTCCCGCTGGAAGGAGGGTGAAGGGTGAAAGGGCTGTTTGGCTGGTCCAATTTTTAAATTTTCATTAAGGGTATATAGGTAATTTGACTTTTAAGTTAGGGCGATGTTTAGCAATTCTTAGGGCGACATTTAGCGATTCAGTTGATTTAGTTATTTTTTCTTTTATACTATGGGTGGTTATACCTAACTATTTTGGTTAAAGCTTAATAAATCAATGCGAATTATTTAATTAATTAAGCACTATTGCCTTGATAGTACAAGCATATTAATTGACGAAATTGAATTCTTTTCTCCCTTGGAAAGCTGAAAATGAAGAAAGTTAAATCAACAAATTTAATAATGATAATAATGAGGCATCATCAATTACCTCTTTTGTTCTATTTAGGAAACACGCGACAAAGAATAAGTTATGTTATATGGTTCGAAAACATTTTAATAAGAAAACAAGTATTCGCCTCATGCGATTCGTTCGTTCCTTTAACCTTCGTAATTAATTTTTTTTATTATTGTTAGACCCCTAATCAAAACCCAATTCATAAATTTTCTATCATTTTAAATATACAATCGAAATCTAATAATCCATAATAATAATTAGTCATACATATAGTGGAGGTCCGGAGACCCCAAAATTTGGAGGCTCTGTGCCGGAGAGCCGGCTGGCACACACTTTGGGCCGGTCCTGCTGATTCTGATCATTAATTGGGCGGAAGAAAGAGGGATTCTGGGTGTATGGTGTCTGGTTGACGTGCTCAACTCTTCTGGGTGATTGTTTTCACTCGGCATTTCGCTTTCATTTCATATTTTTCTGAAGCACGATTTACTTTCGACAGTTTTTCCTACGATGCTTTTCTCTTGATTTGGATCCAGTATATATATATATATCCTTTTGTCCCTCTCTGTTAACCGATTAATCAAAGTACAATACAAATTCCTCTTTGTAAAAAAAGAAATTATCTTCAATTATATATCCTACAGTCACTCCATTATTCACATAAGAATATAATTATATTATTTCACTCCCCACAAAGTGTTGAGTAAAGCCATTTTCACTGGTGTCTTGTCTTAAGGGTGGCAAAATTAGAGCAGTTCCTTATACTGCTAATCGATTTGAACATAAAGTGACGCATTAAGTCATTTTGTTGTCAAAGTACAGAGTTAGCATCTTTTTTATTTTTAGATGATGCGTCTCTGTTATGTTGCTTGATTCTGGGGATTGCATTGCATGTTAGTATCTAACATTGTCTTATTGATCCATCTTTGTAAAACATATTTCAATTTGAAAATCGATTTGTCAATTCAAACGAATCATCTATTTAGTTTAATACTTCAAAAATTTTCCATTACCAAACAAGAGCCTAGTTAGTCTTCCCTAATTAAACAATTCTTATCTTTGCCCATATCGTAGGAAGGCAGCAAATGACTTTCATAGAAGTCCAGTGACCAAAATACCCCAAAAGATTATGCAAACCCAAACCCAAATTGGTTGGGTATTATAGGAAAGCCCACAAAAAAAAAAACTGACCATTTGTCCAGATGGTAATAATTAATAAATAAAAATAATAATCAATACTCTCATCTTCACCCAACTGTACAAAAGGGTTCTCTCTCACACCCAAAAACCTAATTATTTTGTTTCTTATCTTTCCTTCTTTCACCGCCGCCCTCCTCCACTTCCTCCGCCGGGGCTGCCTCCACCTTCTCGTCCATTTCTCCCTCCCCGCCACGCGCCGCCGCCCCTTTCTTTTCACCCTCTTCCCCTTCCCATTTTTTTTTATTTCATTACTTTTAATACATTAAAAACGAAGGAACTCATAGCTATAGCTAAAAAAGAGTATATATATTCGAAAGGGCACTCTCTCCCCTCTCATTCCCAAATCCCAAACACACAGCGAAAAAGAGAGAGAGAAAGAAAAAGATGGATAGAATGGAAGTAGAAGGGAAGACGACGCCGTCGAGGTTCAAAAGGATATGCGTCTTCTGCGGCAGCAGCTCGGGCAAGAAACCCACCTACCAGGAAGCTGCGGTTCAGTTAGGGCAGGAACTGGTAATTTCCATTTCTTCCCATTATCTTTATTATGCCGCATTCAATACGAAGTAAACGCATTTCTCCTTCCCTCTCTTCATTTGGCTGTCGTTCCTTCTGGGTGCAATTGTTCATTTGGGGATCGAAGAGGTAAAAAGTTAGGAACTTGTAATGTGGGTTTTGGTTGGGTCTTTCCTTTTGTTTTAGCGGGAGTTGAAATTTGGTAATGGTGGTCATTTTTCTTTGAGGTGCTTTTGGCGACCAGCCGTTACAAAAGGGTTTGCCAAAAAGCGACCATTTGGTTGCTTTTGGCAACCCTTTTCCGGTGGTCGCAAAAGGGCCTTGTTTGTTTTTTGTCTTTTGTGAAGTATTGTTTGAATATTGTTGGTCATTATGAGAGGAATTTGCGGGAACCGAAGGTCTGTCTGTGGAAACAACGTGGGGCTTATGATTGGAGAGCCTCCCTAGGTAATGGGAGGAAGTAGGGAGGAGGAGGAGGAGTTTAATTATTAATTTAGTTTGGCTTAGTTATTTCTTCTTCTTGTTGTTGTTCTAAAAAAAGGGGTTTTGGTTTTGGTTTTGGAGCGAAAGTGAGGCACGAAGGGTGCTTTAGGAGGCTAGCTAGCTGTAAGACGTGTCAGTTGAGCAGCCTGCTTCTTGCATGATCCTTCCTCTCATAATTCTGTTTTTTAAACATTTTTTGGGTGATAGATGGACTAAGATGAGAATAGCACTATTTAAAATCTTGTACCTCAAAAATTAATGCTAGGATAATTTGGCCGAAATCGTGGTATATTGACGATTTAATCATTGCATACCAGCTAAATACTGTTTACCAATTTAACTTTCGATAAAAAAACAAATTCTGGTTGAACATTCGATACAATATGGTTTTGTGCAATTTGTGGCAAATTTGGTGGGTTGGCTGTGGGGAAGGAGACAGACGTGCAGCCCTTGTTCCTATAGATGATGGGGCTTGGGTTCTTCTTCTCTCTAGGCGTGGGGGGTTTTGGTTTTTGGCCTTCCCTATAATATAAAACAATCAATCATTTTTTTAGTGGCTCGATTTCTGCCTAATTTGTTGCTTTTGTTGTTGTGGTTGATAATGATTGGATTGGTGCCTAATATCTTACTTACATAGCTCGGTAGCAATAGCATAGCTCCATGAAGTTTTGTTTGATCTATGTATCTGTTTTGTTAACTTATTATATTGATTGTAATTTTGTTTTTGTGTTTGAATGAGAAGGTGGAGAGAAGGATTGATTTGGTGTATGGAGGTGGAAGCGTGGGATTGATGGGCCTTGTTTCTCAGGCTGTTCATGATGGTGGCCGCCATGTTCTAGGGTCAGTTCCCTCTCTCTCTCTCTCTCTCTCTCTCTCTCTCTCTCTCTCTCTCTCTCTCTCTCTCTCTCTCTCTCTCTCTCTCTCTCTCTCTCTCTCTCTCTCTCTCTCTCTCTCTCTCTCTCTTGAGAATGTTCATTTGCAAGCAAATATAATGATAAAAAAATATTATAATTACTGTCCCAAGGAACAGAACAGAAGAGACCAGACCAGACCAGACCATCATTCTTTGTAACCCATCCCCGGTTACATTTGTTTATATCATATTGTTCCTTCCAATACAAGAATGCAAGTTTTAGCTTTACCCTAGGAAGGGTGTTTCTTGTTGGAGTCCTCAAATTTTTTACATCATGCACAAAAACATGCTCCAACTGACGAACCAACCAACCAGACATCATGGGATCAAATGCCCCCATCCTTTTGTCTTTGTTCCATTCTTTTAAGTTTTACTGACCACTTTTGGGTGTCCCCATCCTGCTGGCTCTTGTAAAGTCATGCTCCTTTTGGACAAAGGCAAAAAAAGGGTATTGTCTTTTTCTTTTTTTCTCAAGTTGGCAATGAGAACATGGTTACACGAATTGTGTATAAACCGTGTCAAATTTGTGTGCATGATGACAAAAGAAAGAAAGAAAAGGACGACTGGTATGGTACTACTACTGTAGAATCATCTAAAAGCCAAAAAATAAGCTTTTCTGACCATTTTATTATACACAACAACATGTCAACCCAATCCCACATGCCTTCCCCCAGATTCTGCAAAATTAATCAACTCTAATCTAATCAACAAAACTAAACCAGATTAGAGATTACAGATCCTAATCTTTTGCTGTTTATTTTTCCTTCCTTTCTTTTCCCCTCTACAGGGTTATTCCGAGGACTTTAATGCCAGTAGAGGTAAATGTCACAACCCAAGCTTCCTCCTCCCTTCAATTTTGGCTTTAGTAACATGTCTTCTTGTCTTGTGAAAATGAAAACATCACTCACTAACTACGCGTGTTTTTGCAGATAACGGGAGGATCGGTTGGAGAAGTTCGAGCTGTATCAGATATGCACCAAAGAAAAGCCGAAATGGCACGCCAAGCCGACGCATTCATCGCCTTGCCAGGAGGATACGGAACCCTAGAGGAACTCCTCGAGGTCATCACCTGGGCTCAGCTCGGCATCCATCGCAAGCCTGTAAGCTCCAATCTTTTTATTTTATTTTACACTTTCTACTTAATTTCTAAATATAATAAGTGATCCTAAAAAGCTCTGTTAGGTGGTCTAAGACTGATCACATGATGTCATGTTGACTGCCTCTTCTTCTTGTTACATATTAATAACATATATACTTAAATTAGCTCCCTTGAGTACACGACTGTCCGATCTCTTAGATGGGCCGTGTTGAAATTCCTACTTCATTTGAGGGCATATCTTAATCATGTTCCACCACGGGATTATTGGATTAATTAAAGTTTTATATCCTTAGTTAATCCAGCAAAATCAAAGATTTGTTGCATATTACATATACATATATATGTATTTGTGTGTGGAACGGAAATGAAGTCTTAAGATGGCAAGCGGCAGCTTGCGAATCAAAACATGTGGTCTTGCTTTCAATGTGTTCACATGGATACAAAAGATTGGAACTTGCCACCAAAAGATAATAAGATATTAAGATATGTCTTTTCCGTGGTGGTCAAGATTTTTTTTTTTTTTTTTTTTTTTTTTGTTAATGAACGAGTCCGGTTCGAATTGTTGCTCAGTGCAGATTAATTATATTCGAGACTAACGTTTACGTGTCGCAGGTGGGTTTGTTGAACGTGGATGGTTACTACAATTCTTTGTTGAGTTTCATCGATAAAGCTGTGGATGAAGGGTTCGTCTCGCCAATGGCGCGACGAATTATCGTGTCTGCACCGACTGCCAAAGACTTGGTCAGACAACTTGAGGTAATGTATACTCACTTTTTGGTTGATGATCTCCAAGTAACCAATTTAATAAAATAGTGTAAAAAGTGGGAAGTAGTGGCCAACTTGAATTTGTTTTATCCAGTATTGGATGGGGTAACAAATGTTGAATGAATGTCCCTATCAATTCCTACACCATACTTTCTTAATGTGACTTTTTTTTAATTAGTTTTAAGGAAAGAAAGTTGGTGTCCCATTAGAATAAATTAATTTGTTTAACTTCTGTTTGTTCATTATTAATGCAATTATTGATTATCAGGAATATGAGCCTGAGTATGATGAAGTAACAGCCAAGTTGGTGTGGGAGGAGGTGGACAGAAGAAACTACGTGGCCGAACCTGGCGTCGCCACGTGATAATAAAATGGAACAAACTGCGCCGGCGGGAAGTCGGAGCTTGGTCGGTCGGGCGTTTTATTTACCGGAGGGGGGGCTTTTTTGGCGCCGGCGGCCGGGTGGCGGAGGATGAAGCTTGGTAGGGCAGTTTGAATTTGATTAATTAATTTGCTTTTCGGGAAGGAATTATTGTAGTGGTGGGGTTGATTAATTAGTCTCTATATATAATATATATTTAATATGATATAATGATATATGAATATGATGATTGTAGTTAGCCAAAAGGATGGGAAAGAAAGGGAGGAAGAGTTGGGGGATTGAAATGGGAATGTGTTTGTCCCTTTTTGTAAGAAACTGAAAAGTAAAGTGATGAAAATGGATGTGGATGAAAAGTGGGGAAGCTTCCTTCTTTCCTTTCTTAAATCATGTTGGTTTGCTGTCTTCAATTATTTCTATCCATAAAGTCAAAAAGACTTTGGTGAAGAGGCAGAGAGTAAAAATTATGAATATTTTCCCAGCTCTCGTGAGGGAGTTCATATGGACTATGAAAAACTAATACTCCCCTCAAATTGCTATGGGTTTGTTATCATTCCATCTTAAAGTCTTTGGAGTTTTAAGGTGACAAATATAATCTCAATATGCTTTGTTCTCCCATGAAAATATTATTTTTGGTAATTTGCATAGTTGATCTATTATCACAATAAACTTTTAGAGGCATTTTAACTCGTGTCATTCAACCATTGCAACTCACAAACTAACTTCGCTAGTGCATGTATATGATAGAAACCCGCATTTTTTTATAGTTTACTTATTCGGATTATCTTTGTCCGTTTTAATTTTGTGACTTTTTGAGAACGATTGGAGAAAATTGAGAATATGTAATAAATCGGGTAGCAGTAAAAAATTATCCATTTTTTTTTATATAAACTACTTATACATGGGATTAGATCACTAAGCAAGATTAAACCCTAAAGCACTCTCTCTAATCCCTTCTCCCTCTCCCTTCTCGGCCGAACCACTCCTCCTTTCCCCTCACCGCTGCCTCGGCGGCAGCTTTTCATTCCTTTCCCCTCTCAATTTCTCAAATCCCCCTTTTCCGCCCATTTTCCCCAGAGACGAGCCCATCACCTCCCTTGGTGATTCGTCTTGATCCAAATTCCTAAATCCCGATAGAAGCTAATTCTAGGTTTCTATCAGTATACAACTTTCGGGATGATCTAGACATAATATTTAACTTCAGCGAACCTCCCTGAAATGTTAATTGTGTGGTTATCGACCTCTTTGTATCAAGGTAGCTTGCGCAATTATAATCTGAGTGATGATTCGAAAAGAGAAATGACATTGAAATGAAGTCTTTATCCTAGTGCATGTTTTAGATATCTCAAATGCTCTTTGATAGGGATGGCAATGGGGCGGGTTTGGGGCGGGTTTGTCTAAACCATTCCCATCTCCATCTTCAAATACCCAAACCCATACCCGCCCCATACCCATGTGGGGGAATGTTTTGCAAACCCATCCCCATACCCGTGGGTTTCGGGTACCCATGGGTAATACCCGTACCCATACATCCAACATTATTATACCTAAAACTTACAAGAAAAGTTTTAAATATAACTCTAAACGAACCAATTATATCATGAAGTCAACAAAACACAGTCATTTTTTTAATACGGTTCAAAGTATATGATCCTAAAACATCAATTAATACAAATATAGAGTATAATATTTTTCAAATTATTATATTCTAACTCTTATACATCTACTAAGTAATAATTAACTAACATAATCTTGTAGACAAGGGGAAAAGTGAAAGAGTGAAAGGAGAATTGAGGAAAATGAATTAGATTTTGATTAAAATGGTCACTCAATTGCATTTCTACTATTTATTTCCTTGAGTTATCCTCATCACAATTGATAGATTACAATTTAATCCACATATTTGTTTATATGTGAAGAAATTTTCTTGGTGGGGCGGGTATGGGTATGGGGCGGGGGAGATCAAAACCATACCCGCCCCATACCCATCAAACTTTTTGCGGGTTTTACCCATACCCGCCCCATACCCGATCAAAGCGGGGATTCCTCGCGTTGACTGGGTCGGGGGCGGTCGGATACCCGCGGCCATGGGTTTTATTGCCATCCCTACTCTTTGAGGAGCTTGTAAGTGCTCAATTTAGTGCTCAAATGGAAATTGAATCAGTTGTTGTTGTATTGGAAAAGTCAAATTTGGTATGGTGATAGCAAGTAATAATTTATTCACACCAATCTCCTATACACTTCAGGATTGGTTCGCGACTCCTCCTGCTTGGCTACGCAAGCTTGATCTTGTAGTCAACTAAAATAACACCATCCTACATTTCGTATAAACCGTGTATGCTAAGATTTTCATATAATACTTCCTTTGATATATTAACAACAATGCATCTATGATCACTGTAAATTCCTAATCCAAGAAAATATTATTTCTCTTAGATCCTTGAACTTAAAATCTGTTGCCAACAATAACATTAACTACTCAATATCTTATACTTAGCTAAATGCTATCAATATATCATCAACATAAACCATGGCAACTCTACATTGTATCCTCTTCGTAAACATGGAATGATCTTATGCAGTTTGAGAGAATCCACTTCCTTCAACATAAGTAGTCAATTCTATAAAAAAAAAAAAAAACATAAGTAGTCAATTTGGCAAACCACTTTTACTTGCTTGTTTAAAACCCATATAGGGACATCTTAAGTTACTCATTTGTTTGCCGATCGAAAAGAAGGCACTCTGGTGGGATCCTCACGAACATAAAAAAAATTATTGCGGTTAGTTTGATAATGATCGAGTTACATTGCTTCTTCAGCCCGAACCAAAGAGTCCTAATTGAATCCCATATGATTTATTTTTTTTTACAATAATCCCATATGATCATATAACTAGACAGACTGGGCCTAAATTTCTGCAAACCAAAAACAACTAGAGCATTAAAACAAACACTCGATTAAATACCATATCCAGATTTACCTGTTTGGCCATTGTCGTTCCTTTTATCGGGCAATCATAATAAGAACCCCCACCGGCCATGAACATTATACTATTACCACCACCACCATTAATCATTGCGACGAACTCGAAAATATACCGTTTGAATTCCATTCCATCCTATTGCTTCCCTTCCTCCAACATCTAACAGACAAACACTTCGACCAGGAGGCATATTTGGGAAAAGTAAACTGGAATGAATTGAAAACAACATAATCATTCAATTGTATATTATTGTGCTACTTGTTTTCGATGAACAATTATGATTCTAACTATTGAAAGGAGTTGCTGTCTGCATGTCAACATGTGAGCCACATGATGTGTTTGTTAATTAGTTATAAAAATGTTGTTTAATTAGTTATTAAACCACAGGTATCTTAGTTGATCATGTTCTTTCTGATGATAAAAGTATAACCCCGACCAATTATTATCGTTTACTTTTAAACAAGCTGTTGTTGTTGTTGTAGCAATGATGGATGGTTCTCAGTCAAACCATATGGGAAGGTGGTCAAGGTCAACTGGATGAAGAATCTTGATTAGGTTTTGAATGCAAACAAGCAAAAGATACTCGGCCGAAATTTATATACGCTACCGTATGGCCCCAACAAGCTGCCCACTACTATCTTGGATCAATCGCAAGCCTGGTTTCAAGTAAACTAAGATTTGAGGCAAGTAGTGTTGCTTAATCAATCGTCAAAGATGATATTTTCTCCACACCTTCACGGAGAACCTACGATCTATCATTACATTACATTCCATTGGGTATACATATATGTTATTCATGTTAGTGAACGGTTGATGTGACTTGAATCGGACTATCAGCCGCTACGACTGGTAGTCGGGAGTCTCAATGTTATTTGGGTTCAGGTATGGGCTCAATGTTATTTGGATTTGGGTTATGGGCCTGGTCTGTAACCGTTTCCTTTGCCAGATTGGATTAGGTTTAGACCCACATGGAGAAGTACTATAAATACTTCTCATACTCTGTAATCTGTAATCTCCTTGATATAGTGAATTTGGCTCTCTCTTGCCCGTGGACTAGCTAACACACATCGTGTTAGTGAACCACGTAAATCGTGTGTCTGTGTTTTTCGATTCTCGCTTTCGTATTCTTGTTTTATCGATTCCGACGATTTCCCGATCCGTAGCAGCGCGTTTATAACATGAACAGTATATGATTCAAGATTGAACCTCTTCCAACAATTCGAGTTATTGGAATCAAATAGTTCTTGACAATTCATTCATTAAAAAAATGTAATGTTGGATACATGTCGAGAAATAAAAGGTGAGATTTTTCCAGAAATAGCACTGTTTAAAAAAAAAATTCCAAAAATAGCACCCAACTCCGAAAAATTCCAAAAATAGCACCATATTTGTAAAACCGCAACCCGGAGGTGCGTTTTTCGATGAAAACGCCACCCGAGGGAGCGTTTTTCGATGCAAACCGCACTGGTAGGGAGCGGTTTTGCAAACCGCACCCCCAGGGTGCGATCTGCCTTTTTTTTTTTTTTTTTTTGCAAACCGCACCCCCAGGGTGCGATCTGCTTTTTTTTTTTTTTTTTTTTTTGAAAAATCCTAACTTAGGTGGAAACTTCAAGCAAACGTATCTTTATGTTCGGGTATCCGATCGCCGCGATTTTTTTTTTGATTCCGCATAACTTTTTGAGATCTTGCAAGCCGAAGACTGCCAAAGGTGGTTTGGTCTCGCCTTCGAACCAAAAAATGTCGTTTGCTACCCCGAACGAGCATTTTTTCGATTTCGTCAAACTTTGAACGACCATAACTTTGTGCTCCACAATCCGAAAATCATGAACTTTTTTTTGATTTTGCATAACTTTTTGAGGACTACAATTTTTTCTAGGAGAGAATTTTCAAAAAATGAATTATTTTGGATATACGGGGTTTTGGGAATAAGTTTACCTTTCTTTTTAGGAATCCAAGTACATTCCGAAATTATGTCTATGATAAAAAAATTTAGTCCTCAAAAAGTTATGCAAAATCAAAAAAAAAATCATGATTTTCGGATTGTGGAGCACAAAGTTATGGTCGTTCAAAGTTTGACGAAATCGAAAAAATGCTCGTTCGGGGTAGCAAACGACATTTTTTGGTTCGAAGGCGAGACCAAACCACCTTTGGCAGTCTTCGGCTTGCAAGATCTCAAAAAGTTATGCGGAATCAAAAAAAAAATCGCGGCGATCGGATACCCGAACATAAAGATACGTTTGCTTGAAGTTTCCACCTAAGTTAGGATTTTTCAAAAAAAAAAAAAAAAAAAAAGCAGATCGCACCCTGGGGGTGCGGTTTGCAAAAAAAAAAAAAAAAAAAGGCAGATCGCACCCTGGGGGTGCGGTTTGCAAAACCGCTCCCTACCAGTGCGGTTTTCATCGAAAAAC